CTGGGATGGTGCAATAAAATTCTGGGACTAAAGGTGCTGATTCTTGTTTGAAAGCAGAAACAATTGTACCAATTTGTATTAAATATTGCAATTAAATCCTAATTCTAATCAGCCTCCAAAGGCCGTTTTCCAGTGATGAATTTCGTGTGCGTCTTTGAAATGTTGCCGGAAGTTACATAGAACTTGCTCAGTTGTTTTTATGATCAGGCGATCAGGGGTGGGGTGCGTGAAGTCTGATCGTCGTGTTGACACTTTGTCTTACCAGTTATGAGGATGAACCATAAAAGGGTTTACACCTAACATCCCGACTTCCGCTTTTGCGAACAGCTGCAGAAATTGTGAAGTACCGCAACGTTGTAGTATATAGAATGTACATTTCACATATTCGAAGGCAAACTGCAAACTTCAGAGAAATCGCTTATTTGCCTGCGAGTCCACCCCTTAAATATCGCTCTATAGCAAACATTCACAGTTAAAATCGAGAAAGGTCGTTCTCTAATATTTCACAGAATCAAGACAAACCTACCGCCAAGACTAGCTGGCGAACATGTTGAAACCACCGTTAAAGCTAAACAACTAATTCAGGATTTCAACATCCATTCATCTCGTTTTGACCTGCCACGTTTAACTGCGCAAAAACTAGATATGACAGACGTGCGCAGATGGAGCCTGCGAGACTTGAATTTGTATAAGTATGGAATAGATAACTAAACAGTCGAGTATCTCATCAATGGATCCCTGCTGTAAAAAGTAAATGCTGGTATTTTTGAAGTAGATAATATATCTGAAGTTACCGTCCAGTAGCTTTCCATTTCAAATGTTGAATTGAAAGGAAGCTTATATACCTCATGAAGAAATGATTGTATCTTGTTTTGTTTTCTTGTTCATTCTCACGTCTTAAGCGACTGCGTTTGATCAGATTGTTGTTGATCGACAAAGTAAATGTTCCTTAGCCGTGATTTCGGTAAAGCAGTGCGGTAATGATTTGTGTCAGCTAGCTTATTTAATCTTTCGTTGTAGCCATACAGCGCAGATCTGTAATCTTATGAGAAGCATGATCATTTTGCGTAATTACATTTTCTTTGGCAGAATAAGGTTTTTCAGACAGCCTTTGCATTGATTTGAAAACTAAAATTAGCTGCACTTTATGCATCTAAATGAACAGGATTACTGACATCTTAGCCATAATTGCTATGAACAAGAGTTCTGAGAAAGGTCTACATGATTTGAACTGAAATGCATGGCTCCTTTATAGCATGTTAATTGTCCATGTAATGGCTTTGCTGAAATGTTCAGTGCAATTTAAGGAATGGGCATTTGAAAAGTTCTATTAGAGCACCCACTGAATAGTGTACTTCATACAAAGGTAAGGATGTAACACTTATTGATGAGCTACAAGTCAGGCTTTGTGACGAAATCATCCTTGAACAGATATGTAACTAAAAGACAACTGCAACAAGGCAGATCGGCTGGCATATACATAATCCAAAAATTCATATAATTCAAATAGCAACCATCCATCGTTGCAATGCACATTTTTTACGTAATAAAAATGCTAAGATTCAAACTGAATGGTGTATGATATTGTGTACAGTGCGTCCATGCAACTTCAAATGATTCTGGATAATGGGCTTTACAACTAACGCTTCAGAAAACAATTATTGAATGATATCGATATTTTATGAGGTTGTAATAAAAGATCGCCATTCTATTTTCAGATTCAAAATAATGGCTTAGCTGGAAACAAAATTCATTTACTAGACAAAGTGGAAAGGCACGAAGTCGAAAGACACAACTAGGCTATAAACTTATTTGCCGCAAATCATCAAGGAGAAGAAATGGAGTTGGAGTGATATTGAATTAAGCGACCAAAAATACGGTATTCGAAGTCAACTGAATTTACAGAATCATGGACACAGCACATCACGTCAGGTTAAATTCCAGCAGAAAAGAATTTCCACACGGCGAACAAAGTATTCTGGCTGACCCCGGTTCCGCGGTGAAAAGAAGGGCAGTCTCAGAGTCTTGAAGGACAGGTCTGGGCACCCTCTTACCAAGGATGATGACATTCTTCGGCGATGGAGGGAGTATTTTGAGAAACTCCTTAATCCCGCGCAGTCGCAGGAAGACTCGCCTGTAGAGCAGAAGGGTACGGATATCATCACTATCTGTGTAGATGGAATTACACATGCTGTGAAAAGCATGAAAAATGTAAAGGCTGCTGCAATAGATGAAATCCACCCTAAGATGCTCAAGGCATTAGACGAACAAGGCATGTGCTGGTTTACCCGTTTGTCAAACTGCAATGACTGCGGGAAAGACACCAGCGGACTGGAGAACGGGAGTTATTGTACCTGTATTCAAGAAGGGAGACCACAAGAAACGCTCCAATTAAAGGGGCATAAAGTTATTGAGTCTCCCAGGAAAAGTCTACGCAAAAGTGCTAGAAAGGAAGTGCCGCGAAATAACTGACCGAAGAAGAGTAGTGTGGCTTCCGGCCCGGTCAAAGCACTTCTGACCATATATTTGCCCTGCGCCGGATTGTTGAGAAATCGTGGTAGTTCGCCCATTCGGTGTACATGTGCCTAGATGACCTAGAAAAAGCCTATAACCGGATCCCATCCAACAGTCTGTAGTCATGCCTTCAACCATACGGGATAGATGGCCAGCTACTAGGGGCCATCCAATCACTGTATTCTGATAGCAGGTGCTGCCTCAGAGTAAAAGTCGTTAAGTCGAAACTATTCAGCGTTTGCACTGGTCTCCGCCAAGGCTGCCTCCTGTCCCCTATCCTGTTTGTGTTGTACATGGATCGAATAGTTAGGAGTTGCCAAGACGATGAGTGCATCGGTATAGGAGATGTGAAGATGAGAAGGTTGCTGTTTGGAGACGACCTTGTTTTATTAGCATCTTCTGAAGCTGATCTTCAGTGCTTCTTGGAAAGGTTCGCAGCGGAATGCGAC